TTCTGAGGAGCTTCTGGGTGGATCTGATCAATAATCTTTCAATCAGTAGCCAAGTACTTAACTATTTGGCATCACCCAGGAATTCTACCTACCACATCTGGGGAATCAGGCTTGAGTTTCAAAGTTAAATCAACAAGCATTTCCTAATATGTGTTGTAATTTGTTCTGAACTGTATGAAAGAAATTCACAAATTTGTCTTTCTCAATTTACATAACTTCTATGGCTTCCATTTCCTCACTTGGAAAACTGAAGAAATTAACAGTCGTCTTATGGGAAATTGTTCATGGAGAATGTCTGCCTTATAACAGACATCCTTTTTCTTTTAACCAGCATCCAGAAATCATTGTTGTTTTAATTTTGACAAAATTTAAGTAAAGGGTAAATATTAAGCAGTAATATGGCAGAGAAACAGACCCTCTTATAAACTGCCAATATGCATGTAAATTGTAGATTTACATGTAAATCTGGCAAGGGCAATATTAATGTAATGAAAGGCCTTGCAATTGTTCATTCTCTTTATCCTAGTAAGTGCATGATTAAACTTATTACACCCATTCCTCATTTCATTATCTGACATTTTATGTTTATGATAATAGTAAAAAATCTTCTATCTGATTATCCTGTGTGTTAATGCCATGTCTGGCAATAACAGATGCAGAGGTGTGAGGCAAGAATAATGGTAGCTATGATGGACACAGTGGCTACAACAATGGGCTTCAACATAACAATTGTGAGGATGCTACGAGTCTGCGCCAACTTAATAGGTACCTAACAATAATAACAACATGATAAGAGCATGTTAATAATACCTTACAATAATAACAACAGTAACATGCCAGTTTGGCGAGGCCATGATTCTCAGTGGTTTGGTAATTATATAAGGATGCCATTTGGCAATTAGTAATGATTTTGTCATCCTCCATTTTCACATAATGCCAATTTTCAAACGGCGGCTTGGTCTTTGGAACCTAAGTTATCCATAATGAGTGAGTGTACCAGGATGCTCAGGGTCCCTAAGTAAATACCTATTAAGAAGGTAAATCGTATTAACCTGGTGACTAGTGGTTACCAGTCAGGTTGCTAATTCAAGGTCAAAATTCAAAACCACCAGCCACTCCAGGAGAAAGACGGGCTTTCTATTCCTGTAAAGAGTTACAGTCTCGGGAGACTCACAGGGCCAGTTCTACCCTGCCCTATGGGTGGAAGAATCCTGCTCTGTCCTGCCGTTTCTATGCGTGGGCATCGACTCGATGGCAGTGAATTTTGGGGG